GGCCACTTTCGAGGCCAAAGGTCACTCGGTTCAACCAGTACCCTTTGGAAGCCCCCTCCCCGTTGATCAGGATGTCGTTTCCTTCCTGGAGCTTAACTCGCCATTCTTCCACGACATGAAACAGTCTGATTTTGAATACTGGATTGAAATGGTCGGCAGAATGGGCGACGAAAAGTGGCTTTGGATTACGCGAACAGCATCCATGGGCGCAACGGAGCCTGGTTATGCCATGTCCCTCGGCTTCGCGCGTACTCTCCGCTCAGAGAAGAAGATCAGCATTACAACTCTCGAGATTGATGAAGTCAACGCCCCTAGCAGCCCACAGAAGGTCGTTCAGCTTTATGAAAAGATCAATAGCCCACCACCAGACGATGATATGGAGCCTGACTTTGAATTTGCGATCAAGAACGGAGTTATCCATCTGCCGAGGTATCATTGGGTCTCCATCAAGGATGAGCTGGAGAAGGCTGCCGAAGAGGTCAAGAACAAGCACCTCTGTATCGGCCAAAAGGGCTCCATCAATGGCTTGCGTTGGGAAGACAATGAAGCTGTCAGTCGACCATGTAGGCCCGACGAAATCGCTGTTCGTCCGCATACAGTGGGCGTGAACTTTAGAGTGAGTCTGAAAAATCCATTCATCAACACACTGACTAAAATGTCTAGGATATCGTCCAAACGCAAGGTCTCATTGATAGCAGCGATCTTGGAGGAGAATGTTCTGCCATCGTAACTGAGGTTGGTTCAGAGGTTACAGACTTCAAAGTTGGCGACCGTGTCTTTGGCATGGTTGCTGAAAGCTACTCGAACCGTGTACTCGATAAAGCTGAGCTATTCGCCAAAGTCCCAAATAACTTGACCATGGAGGAGGCAGCAACGATGCCTACGACCTATCTGACGGTGATATTTGCGTTGCGACATGCTCGCCGGCTGAACAAGGGCGATGTAAGTTTTTTGATAGAGTAGAGATCGATAAAAGTGCTAACGTGCTATAGACTATTCTGATTCACTCTGCTGCGGGCGGTGTGGGTATCTCAGCTATCAATATTGCCAAGATGGTTGGTGCCAAGGTAACGACTCTGTGTGGCTCTCTTTTAGTCTTTCTGACTCTTCGTAGATTTTCGCAACAGTCGGCACTGAGGACAAGGTAGAGTTCCTAGTCAACAACTTTGGCATTCCACGAGAGCAGATTTTCGACTCTCACAGCAATGCCTTCCGAACGGAAATCCTCGCCGCAACCAACGGACGCGGTGTCGATATTGCTCTCAATTCTCTTGCTGGTGAACTTTTACACGAGACCTGGCAGTGTATCGGTGACTTTGGTGCAATGATTGAAATCGGAAAGCGTGACTTCTACGGGCACGGAAAAATAGACCTCGTCGGCTTCACGGACAACCGCAGCTTCATCGGTGTGGATGCTCACCACATTCAGCACGCCCGCCCTGATTTGTGTGGAAGACTCGTCCGCGAGTTGGCTGAGTTGAGTTCCGCAGGACACATTCAACCAATCCGGCCAATCAAGAACTTTGGTGTAACAGAGATTGCGGATGCATTCCGTTACATGCAAAAAGGCACACACATAGGCAAGATCACGGTGACTATGCCTGAGGATCCGAAGGTCTTCAAGGAAATCACCTGCAAGAAACATCATCCTAAACTCAACGTCCACCCAGACTATTCATATCTGCTGGTTGGTGGTCTGGGAGGTATTGGTCGCTCTATCGCTCTGTCGCTCGTTCTCAATGGCGCCAAACACCTCATATTCATCTCCCGTTCTGGAAGGTCATCAAAGAATGAGCACTTTCTCCAGGAGCTTGAGGTCCTTGGATGCTCTGTTCAAGTATTGGCAGGATCAGCTGCGGATCTCAACCTGGTCAAGCATGCGGCTAAGACTGCTACAAAGCCTATCCGCGGTGTCATTCAGCTTGCCATGGTGTTGAACGATCAAGCCATCGGATCAATGACCTGGGATGCATGGAAGGCAGCCACTGAGCCTAAGGTCGCCGGCACCTGGAACCTACACCACGCAGTACCAGAAGTTGATTTCTTTGTCATGTTCTCTTCGATAAGCGGCTTGATGGGTCAAATTGGCCAAGCAAATTACGCAGCGGCAAACACCTTCCTCGACGCTTTCACACAGTACCGCCACAGTCTTGGACTTCCCGCTTCCGTTATCGACCTGGGCGTCATGGAGGATGTTGGTTTCGTCGCCGCAACCGAGAATTTGCTCGATTACTTCAAGTCACAGTCCTCTACGACGCTGACTGAGAAGGATATCTTCGATATCGTGAGGCTCGCCATCACCCGCTCAGACCCTACTTTGACTTGGAAGGGTGATGGCTTCTCGGACCAGGGCCAGTTTGCTCCAGGTGTGCGCACTACTCTCTCAATGTACGACCCCAACAATCGTGTGATTTGGAAACATGACCGCCGTTTCGCTATCGCACGAACACTTGATGTAGAGAACAGCTCCGCGTCCACTACATCATCCAACTTGAAGGCTTACATATCCGGCCTAAGTTCTTCGTCTGATGAAAGCGTGGAATATGTAGCCAAGGAAATTGGCAAGACGCTGTTCGGATTCCTGATGCGGACTGTTGACGACATGGACATTGATGAGTCACTGAGCTCGATTGGATTGGATAGCTTGGTAGGCATTGAACTGAGGAATTGGACGAAGCAACAACTTGGGTACGAGATTAGCATTCTCGAGCTGATGCAGAGCACACTAAGGGATTTGGCAAGGGGTGCTGTGGATTCTATTCTTGCCAAGCAGAAGTAGTTGGAGTAGTGGAAGATTTTGGGTAAAAAGTTCACTCCAAGGTCTAGGCTTAGACTTTCTCAAAGGCGTTCTTGGTATATAGTACGTTATTTGGATATGCACACGATTGCCAATCTTCACTTTCACGTAACTCTCTTCTCTTTCTACTGTTGGTTGACAAGCGCGGGGCTCTCGATGACTGATGCTTGGCATATTGCTATTGCAGTTTTTGTTTGGCACAAATATGTCGAGCTAGAAACAGCAAGACATCTTACAATTCGTGGCACGCAAATATTATAGAGAAGCATCAGTATTTTTGGAGCTACTTCAAGTCCGCTGATTCATATTCAGCTTGTCCACTCCCTTTCTCCTGTATGCACCCACTGCCCAGCATGCTTCAATTCAATCAAGTCTTATCGTTCTAGCCAGACTCAGAAGCCTAGTCGAGTCGTTCTTGGACTTGGCCAAGCCATCGAGCTAGGAGTTCTTGGTCGTGTGACCGGCGAGGTCCTGGTTGGGATTATCCGCTTTATCATTCGAGGCTAGGACCTGAGCGTTGGTATCGTTGACAAAAAGGCCACTGACGTTCATGGCGTTTGGGTTGTTCTGAGTATTTTCAGTGGTTATATCGACGGGAAGGGTGTTCTCAGTAAATACCATGGTTCTTAGTTCTTCTTCCCCATGTTCTTCAAGGGTCTGGAACAGGACACGAGATGCATTCCTAGCACTTTTGACTAGGTCCCGCAGCCGGGCCTTAATATTTTTGAGATCCTCGCGGGTAACTGGATGGAGATTATGCATTGATTGATACAACTTTGTAATCTTTATCTTGAACTTATCCAGTAGCGGGTGTGATACACCGGCAGTGGTATTTTCGAATTTCGTCTGAAGGTCTAAGAGTGTCTCCATGCACTTTTCGACCTTTACTTGACAGCTTTTCATTTGCTCCGTGAGCTGTTCTCCCTTTTGGAACAAACGTTCGGCTTCTTCCTTGGAAGGGGGGGACATGTTACTGTGACGAAGTGCTTATTCGTAAAGAGAAGAATGTAATGTTTTTGCTTACTTGTCGCGTGTTGGGATGCGAATGAGAGCTAGTTGTAGAGGTGACGAACCGCTAAATGATAAGACACGGGTGGATATAGAGTACAGTGAGACAAAACAGCCCCACTTTATAGGCAGAGCTCGCCCTCCGCCTGCTAGTGAAAATGAACGGTGATGGTTAATTTGGCTTACTTCCTGGTAGTAAACAAACTGTACTCTCGTGCTGCAACTTTAGAATCATCCAATCCATACTACACAATTACTTCTACTCTCTCTCAGGAAAAGAAATCCACACATAATCCATTCCGGTATTCTTTTCCCCTAAACTGTTGATTTTCAAGCACTCTTTTGGCCCTAGAGATAGCACACTCGCGCGGATACGGCTGGATCGGTCATTACCCCAAACTTACTGGGCATACTTGCATCAACAAAAAATGGGTTGCGTTGCCTTTAACGGGTGTAAATCCTCGTGAATTTGAGGATAATCCCAACAGTAAGTTATATGACTTACTTGAGCTTTACTGTAGAATTTTAGTCTTGGCATCTTACCGCTACATTCATGATCTGATATGCAAAAGAGACCAACGTGTCGTTTGAGATGGTTGCATTTGCGCGTTGTATGCGGAGCCATGTTGATATCTTGAGCGGTACTCTCTTGTTGATGTAGTGTGTTATCCTGCTTGTAAATAATTTCTTGCTACACAATAGAAATGAGATTTTGAGACGTTTGTTGCGGGTCGGTAGGAAATCAGAGACCAGTGGGAGAGGACCCTGTTGAATATTTCGTTATCACAATCGCCTCCACTTCTGCGTTGCCAAGTGCACCGATATTAGCCAGTAAGCTGGAGTACTGAATTCTATGTTGATGCATGATTAAAGTTCACAGTTCAGGGTGGTCCAGAGATGGCGATTATCGATGTTGTTTGCATATCCGTCATAAGTCCAGATACCACGCATTGAGGCAACAGCGGGCGCAAGAAATCCAGAACAAGTCGTGGGAAATTTCAAGCAAATTGATTTATGTTTCAATCTAATATGCATGTGTGAGAGGAGCGACACTGTGGAGGGGACATGACGCGGGGCCGAGGCTGGGGTGCCTGGCGATCGGTGTTCGTGCACGTCCCCCAAAACTTTTGGTGACATCAACGTCAACCGCGTCGTCTATGCACAGAGAAGAACGTTGTAAACCCACCCAGCACCAATGAAGCTGCCAAATTCCATGAGAGCAATTGGCTCAATTCGAGCCCATGTCTCACAATCACCAAATTTTCGTCTGTTCCAAAGACCTGTGCGATTCCACAGATCTCCCGCATTGGCATCGCGAAGTATGACGACCACACCTCGAAAACACCACAATCCTACATCCAACTCCACCGTCGATCCAACCGAAGTTTCCCACTTCAATGCACTTGCATCATCGTGGTGGGATCCTCATGGCCCTTCACGGCCCCTGCACCTGATGAATCCCCTTCGCCACGAATTTATAACGCGATGTCGTTCCACCACAGCCCCTCCTACACCAGGCCAGAAACTCCGTTACCTAGACATTGGTTGCGGCGGCGGAATATTCGCTGAATCAGCTGCACGGCTCCCAACCACCACGTCAGTCACGGCAATTGACCCCACACCTCAGGTCCTCATTATTGCCGAGGCGCACAAGCGTCGTGACCCTGTGTTGATATCGCCTGGTAAACTCACATATCTGAACACCTCCATCGAAGACTTCCCTCGCCCAAGTTCGGATACAGAGGCGTTCGATATTGTCTCACTCTTCGAAGTCATTGAGCACGTCAATGCCCCGGGCCCGTTTTTAGAGCACGTGTTACCACATGTAAAGCCCGGAGGATGGCTCATAATGAGCACGATAGCAAGAACATGGACGAGCTGGCTAGTTACGAATGTGATTGCGGAGGATGTGCTGGGTATGGTACCCAAGGGAACGCATGAGTGGAGCAAGTATGTCAATGAGGAGGAGCTGAGGAATTGGTTTGCAAAGCAGCCGGGATGGGGCAGCGTGAAGAGCATGGGCGTCATGTATGTGCCTGGGCTGGGGTGGAAGGAAGTCCGAGGCAGCGAGCAATGGGGCAATTACTTTTTTGGTGTACGGAGAGAGACTTGATATGTGGATTGTAAATGTGTGGTTCATGTTATTGGTATAGGTTCAGTGGGAGCATGATACCCCAAAAGTAATGTACAATACATGCAACGTCCTTCAGAACGTTTCCTAGGTCTTCCCTCGATATTTTCGTATGGACTAGTGAGCTGAACGCCCAACCATGTCACCTCACATAATCACCGGATATGCCCAGCCCCTTCTAACAATGCCATCGATATAAAATTTATTCCCAGCTATTCTCTTGCTTCCCGTCATGATTTTGTCGCAGGTCGTTCCTCGAAAGGTGTTGGCATGTTTCTGCTCGAATCCGATGCGCTATCTGCAGTCTCCACAATATCATGTCCACCCGACATCTTCCATGCCCTCAGGTAATCCTCACCGGTGAAACGCTTGGGGTAGTTTTGCGCGGTGCCCGAGTCCAAGTCTCGTACTTTCTCTAGGCTTGCATCCACAAAGGGTGTCAACTACTCATTGTCAGCCCACTGCCCACTTTGCGCTTCCGAGCCACAACCCTCAAAATTCCCACACATACCTCGCTGTTCTTGGTGCCATGTATCGGATACACATATGTCCGTATTTTACTCCAGTCTGGTGTGAAATTCCCGTATTTGTTAATCGTGCCCATGGACCCCACGCGGTTTCCCTTGTAGTATTCCTTGCCGGCTTGTTTCGGGGAGAGCGGCAGACGCCGCAGCATCTTCTGCAGAGAGGGCGTGGGCTTGAACATTGCGGCGGTCCGCTCGTTGGCGTGTGATGAAGCGAGCAATGCCAAAGCGACGTCGGTATGCGCAGAGGTTGATGGACACTGCGGAGTTCGCGCGGAGGTGGCACGGACCACGACTCGAAAAAAGTGCAGCCAAGATTTCGACCTTTGGATTTGCTCGCCCCAGCGACCTTCACCACCACCACAACACCAAGATGCCGCCTCGCATTGCAAGAAGCTCGATTCAGAGCGGTGGTTCTTCTTCAAAAAGTCGCTCGAATGCGCGAAACCCCAAAAAGGCGCAGAAGCGCGCCCTCGACGCCTATGCGATAGCCGAGCACGAAAATCTGGATAGCCCAAAGATTCGCAAGAACCGCCTAGGCGAATTCGACCCCGCCTTCAACAGGAAGCGAGCGCGCGACGACGATGACGACAATGAGGAAGACGACGACGAGGACGAAGATGAGGGCCCCAAGAGGCGAAAGAGGAGAACGGGCGACGAGAGTTACGACGAAGGCAGTGACTCGGAGGGCAATACCTGGCAAATGGGTCACGTCGACAATGACGATAGCGACGATAGTATAGACTCAGATGAAGCTTTTGGCGATAGCGACGAAGAAAGGTTCGAGGGCTTCACGTTCCGGGGCAGCTCAAAGAGCCAGAAGAACAAGCCAAAAAAGTCCAAGAGACAGCAGGATCTGGAAGATGAGGACGGCGACATCGATCTGGACGAGGGAGACAGTGCAGACGGCGAGGATGACTACGACGAAGACGATCTTGGTGAGGATGCTATTGACTTGGCAACCGCGCTGGATCAGTATGAGGAGGATGAAGCAGAGGAGCGGAGAGAGAAGAACAAACAGAAAAAGCGCGTTTCGGCATCTGATGACAGCGATGACAATGTCATGGAGTCAGACGATGATTTCGAGTCGTTCTCTGACGACGAGAGCGATGACGCCGACGATCGACAGGCGCAACTACAAGACTTGATCTCATCCCTGGCATCCAAGGAGGATGGCAAGCCCAAGGGTAAGAGAGTCGAGGTTCACGAGTCTGCTGCACCAGATGAATTTGGTGTTTCAAGAAAGGTAGACCTACTCAGTCTCAAACCCAAGATCGCAGACGCAGAGAAGAAGAAAGCGCTCAAACTACTCGAAGACGACAAGTCGTCGAAACGTAACGACATTGCGCGGAAACTAGATGCACCTCTACCAAAGCGAGCGCAAGACAAGCTTGACCGTGCCGCTGCCAACGCCAAAGCAAATGAAACTCTCGAAAGGTGGACCGACACGATCAAACGCAACCGTCGCGCTGAGCATCTCATGTTCCCTCTACAAAATGCCAGCGGGGGCGAGCCTACGGGAGAGAAGACCCTCCAGCCCACTACAACCGCTGCTCCTGCAAACGACCTCGAGAGTACCATCCAGTCTATCCTTCAACAAAGTGGCTTGTCTAACGGCAAGGAAGATGAGGAAAAGCTACAGAAGTGGGAGGAGCTACAAACCAACAAGCTCCCTATGGAAGAAGTCCTCAAGCGACGTGCTGAACTGCGCATGCAGCGCGAGCTACTCTTCCGCGAGGAGGTTCGTGCCAAACGCATCAAGAAAATCAAGAGCAAGGCTTACCGCCGCGTCCACCGAAAGGAACGCGAGAAGATGCTGGAGAAGGAGCGAGAGCAACTCAAGGCGGATGGTGTTGATCTTTCCGAGGAAGAGCGCGAGTACAACGATCGTCGACGCGCTGAGGAGCGCATGGGCGCCAAACATCGCGAAAGCAAATGGGCTAAGGGCATCAAGGCTACAGGACGAGCAGTATGGGACCAGGATGCGCTTGATGGAGTGACAGAAATGGCTAGACGCAACGAGGAGCTTCGTCGCCGCGTCGAAGGCAAGACTATCCGCGACGACGAAGAAGGCTCTGATGTACCAAGCGATGAGGAAAGCGAAGATGACGAGCAGTCTGATGAAGATGCACTCCAAAAGTCGCTTGGCAAGCTCAAGGAGAACCCATTTTCGACTGGCAAGTCCAAATTGGGAGCGATGGCTTTTATGCAAAGGTCAGAAGCTGCCAGACGTGCGGAGAATGATGAGGCTGTTGAGCGCATCCGCCGAGAGCTTGCTGGCGAAGACAGTGATGAAGACGAGATTGACGAGAATGCAACCAAGGCTGGACGGCGGAGATATGGACCTAATAGCAATGTCGTCGCTCCAGCAATACAAATTGGTCGCAGCGAGTTTGAAGAGCATGCTGGGTCTGACGAAGAGCAGCCTGCTGCAAAAGACGAAGATTCCGCACCAGAGCCATCCTCGAACAAATCTTCCGCGCCAAAGAGAAATAGCATCAGTGGTCTCTCTAACGGTACACGCAAGGAGCGTAATGCTGCGCCAGCGCAAACAACCGAGAATGAGAGTGGCTCTTCCAACCCCTTCTTAGTCAAGGCGAAGAAGGAAAAGAAGGCACCTAAAGAACCTGAGCTTTTCCCTGTCAAGGAAGTCTCGAAGTCCGTCGTTCAAGAGCAAACCGTTGTCGCGTCAAAACTAGCTGCGAAAGCAAAAGCACAGAAAAAGTTAAAACAGGCAGAGAAGCCACAGGAAGCCAAGGTGGATGATTTCCTCAAGCAGCGCGTCACTGCCACTGATGATGATGGCTGGGCGACCGTGCTGCGTGGCCAAGACGATGATGAAGATCAGGATGATGAAGACATTGAAAATGAGGGCATTGACCTCGACATTGTCATGCGCAATCAGGCTCTCACAGCTAAAGGCTTTGCGGGTGACGATGTAATCGCTGAGTTTGATGCTGAGAAGAAGGCCACCATTGCTGAGGAAGAGACTACCGAGACCACTTCCGTCCTTCCCGGTTGGGGTGCCTGGACCGGAGAAGGCATGTCAAAAGCTGAGAAAAAGCGCAACATCGGTGCCAAAACCGTAACTCACAAGCCTGGTATCGACGCCGCCAAGCGCAAAGACAGGAAGTTGGACAAGGTAATCATCAATGAGAGGAGGGTCAAACCTAATACCAAGTACATGGCCAGCCAATTGCCGTTTCCATTTGAGAATAGGGAGCAGTATGAAAGAAGTTTGCGGGTGCCAAAGGGCAAGGAATGGGTCACCAAGAAGACACACCAAGATGTCACTAGGCCGAGGGTTATTGTCAAACAGGGTATCATCAAGCCGCTACGAAAGCCGCTGGTATGAGCGAGATAAAATAGTTTTCCTTGCTATGTGTAGTCAATGGAGGTATTTCATTGTCATTTTGTCATTTTTTGCCCTTCCCCTGTGACAGTATCGGACCGAGCTCATTGTTACAAGACCAATTGTAGAGGAAGCCCCGTGGGACTGTGAGGAAGGAATCAACACCACAACTATACGGAGCTCTTTAACGTGCTCCTACACAAATTCCGTATCTCTTCCGTCTCCTCAACCTTGTTGATCATCGGTTTACTTGGCCTTCAAACGGCCGCGATCCGTCCGGGACGGGACCACTGATGCATCGAGTTCCCGGCGCGCAAATGCGCAAATCTCATGGCAGCTATCAAGTAAGTCTTGCCATCACTTGAGTCCTTTCCCAAATCTGCAATTGCCCCGCTACCCTTTGTTGTTTTCTTCTCTATGAGCACTCCTGCCTGCACGGCTATCCTAATTGATATTCACTTTTTCCTAGAGAGCCATTGATCCCTCGACTTATTCACTAAAAACAAGCCTATTTCGTTCCTAAACCTTCATACCAACCGCACCACGACTTGTGGGGTGCTTCATAATAGTTTTACATGGGCCCAACCCAGTCTCGACCGACTGACCCGCCCTCACAAACTCGGCAGCCTACCAAAAAAGAGGCACGATTGGGACCTTGGCGCTCTGCCCGTCAAAGTATCAAAAATTCCCTCAACTATGACGCATCAGGCATGGCAGAGGATGATACACCTGATGACATCTTCACCAAGATACAAGAAGATAACATACTCCCACAAATTCCAATCGGCCGTCACCATCCAGTGCCTAGGAAGGGAGTGGAGGATGACGACATGAGGACCTTGCATACAAACAAATTCTATGCCAATACATTTCTTGGAAAACAGAATCAGCCGATATGGACACATCCATACAGTCTTTGGTGGGGAAAAGGCCTTGCGGAACCGGGCATGGTTCAAACATGGGGTATGTGTGTAAGCCATATTGAGGAGACTGATTTGGTGTTTGAACCTGGCGAGCCTGCCAACAGCTACGTCAATCCACCACACAAGCAACACATTGTCCTCACGGCGGTCGAACTCGACGCTCGAACCACGCTCACTACTGATACGCACCTCCCCTTCTCTGTCAACATCAACCTTGGACTCCATTCCACTCCGCATGAGCCAAAGATTACTTTTCCAGTTGTACAAGGAATGAGCTTCGTCACAGCTGGATATAGAGACGCGACACCGATGCTTCACACGGGTCGTCGAGGTTTCGTGGACATGACCGGGCCAATACTGCTAGGGCGGACAGTCAAGTACCGTCTCAACGACAAGAATGGTCACCGCTGGGTTGTGTATGTCAATCCGGTAGTCGATATCGAATATGACGCGGTAAATTTCCGAATGGTTAACAAAAACACCTTACTCGGTCCTCCGGGCTTCAAAGGGACTATTCAAGTGGCAAAGAACCCACTAGGAAATGAAGGAGAGGTCATATACGACCGCGCGTGCGGTGCATTCGTCTGCGAGGCCGAGCTTAGTGCTGTTGTTCAAGACAGCAAAGGCAGTTACACTTTCAAGTATACCAAGATCGGTCGCTCTCCATTACTCATGTTCGTTTTACCACATCATATACAGTCTCTGGATCCAGACATGCAAAAGCAAGTGACGAATCTGCAGCTACGCACCTCGACTAAAGGCATGGCTACAGCTGTGTGGGCTGAACGGCTGACATTCGTCGAGCCCAACATGCCTGTCACGATGCATTTTGGACCATGGAATCCTACCTTGGCCTCCAACGCCAACGTACGCTACCCACCTGAAGTTCTCGCCTTCATCGCCGCAGTGGCGGAGCGCGACCTGCGCCGTGCAATGACGGAGCGCATACCTCAAGAGACAATGTACTACGCAGGCAAAGCCTTTGCCAAATTCGCCACTATCTTGTGGGTCATCAAAGATATACTGGGCCATGAAGCAATTGCTACCGCTGGCCTGAATAAAATCAAACTAGAATTTGCAAAGTACGTCGAGAATCAGCAACGGCACGCGCTTTACTACGATGACAGTTGGAAAGGCGTTGTTTCATCAGCTGGCTTCACCGATTCGTCGGCTGACTTTGGAAATACTTACTACAACGATCATCACTTCCACTATGCATATTTCATCTACACGGCCGCTGTGGTTGGGTATTTGGATCCGGAGTGGGTATATCAGGGTGACAACAAGGCATGGACAAACATGCTGGTCAAGGACTTTGCGGAAAGCGATTACGGTAGCCGAGACTACCCATTTTTCCGAGCGTTTGACTGGTGGCATGGCCACAGTTGGGCCAAAGGCTTGTTCGAGAGTGCTGATGGCAAAGACATGGAAAGCACTGGCGAAGACGCCTTCTCTAGCTTTGCGATGAAGATGTGGGGAAAAATCATTGGCGACGCAAACATGGAGAGGAGAGGTGCGTTTCCTCCATCTTAGCAGTTCAGAAAAGTTGGACTAACGATATGGCACAAACCCATGCAGGCAACTTGATGCTGGCTATTCAGGCACGGTCGTACAACGCATACATTTACCTGCAGACGGGGAACCGGAACCATCCGGTGCGCTACGTGCAGAACAAGGTGTGCGGTATCTTGTTTGAGAACAAAGCAGATTATGCGAGTACGTATGCGCGTCACAGCACCATGTGCATTTGCTGTAAGCTGTGCTCCAGGAGAAGATGATGAGTTGTCAAGGAACATCAGGCAACATGCAGGGAGTAAACGTTGCTGACAGCTGTTCTGAAAAAGCATACTTTGGACTCGCGCCCGAACTCGTCCATGGTATCCACATGGCGCCTATTACGCCGGCAACGTCGCTGATCCGACCACGAACATTTGTCAAAGAGGAATGGGACAAGTTTTTCAGCAATGGAAAGGCGAATGTAGATGGTGAGAGAGATGATCCCCTTCCACACGCCCACTATATCATGTCTGCCAAGATTCATGTTTGTTAATGCATAAGCTTGCACAAAAAAACAGGAGCATGGCGATCAGTCCTGTACGCAAACCTCGCCATTGTGGATCCCAAGGCCAGTTATGCGTTTTTCCGAGATGGAATCAACGGCTTCTGGGACGAGCAGTGGATCGATGCTGGGGCGAGTCGGACGTGGTATCTTGTGTGGGCAGCGGCGCTTGGAGAGTTTGCAAAGGGGGGCAAGTAATGGAACCAAGAGAATGAGGCGAATCGGATGGAGTGGAGTGAGAGGGAAGTAAGATGAGTGGGACAGGGAAGGGAGGATTGGTGTGAGATTGGGTTGATGGCTGACGGGCGACGGAGACGGCCGATAGATTGCCCGGAACCCGAGAGAGGCCGATGGTCCGAGAGCGTCGGTATGTATTGAATGGCCGAATGAGAGATGGAGCCTGTCCAGAGCATGGCACACCAAGGTAGAAGCACCACGACGATGTCTCTTTAAGCATTTCCTCTTTTATTTTGTTTTCCGATAAGTTTAACTTTGTGCACAGCTCAGACGACAATGGCCCCCCGATCCCACCCTGATGCACTGATGGGCCCGGCGATCGGGGTGGTGCACAGACCGAGGGAATCGAGATCAGCCACACTTCGCTTGTTCCCGCAGCACTGCCACAAGCAGAGAAAACGCCAAGACTAGCTGCACCGCCCCACAGATACTCGTACAGGGAAAAAGAACCACAGGATAGCCACCCAAACGTACATAGGAGAAAAACAACACATAGGAAATAATCGACAAGCAAAATTAAACATAAAGGGTTGTAGGATACGATTTACTCTGTCTTTTGGTACACAAGGAAATCGGGGGCTGCTCTCGGCAGCGAGCGCGTGAATAGGCCTGGCTTGCAGGCGACATACAGGCTCAAGGTTCAAACCGAAAAAGGGGTGCAAAAGGGTCATGATCTAGCTCGTAGCGAAGAAGCGCCTGATAACCTCGTTGGTAATGGTGCCGGCAGCGTCGTCGGGATAAATGTAAAAGGCGAGAGCAATGATGGCGTAGATGGCAATGCACATGGCGCCCTCGAGATAGTTGCTCTTTCCGTCCTGAATCAGATAGTTGACAATCAGAACCGAGATGAAGAAGATCATCGTCTCGAAACCCTGGAAGTGGAGAGTCATGGGTTGGTGGATGATCCAGCCGAGGATGACAAGGAAGGGGGTGACAAAGAGGGCGATTTGCATAGAGGATCCAATGGCCACGTTGATAGCGAGGTCCATCTTGCCCTTGTATGCAACAACGACGGCTGTGACGTGTTCGGCGGCGTTTCCAACGATGGGGATCAGAATGAGACCAACAAATGTCTTGCTAATATGCGCTGATTCAACAATCGAGTCGATGCTGTCGACGAGGTATTCAGCGCAGATGGCGACAAGGATGGTAACGACGACCAAGGCAACACCAGCAGCCTTGGGCGAGAGGATCTCGGGCTCTTCCTGGTCCTCGCCTTCTTGTGCCTCGACATCAGCGAAGAGGCTGTGATGCGAGTAGAGCTGGAAGTAGAGGTAGAGAACGTAGATGATGAGAAGGATGATGGAGGTGCCGTGGGAGAGGACAAGGATGTTCTGGTCCGTCTCAAGGTCGCCCTTCTTGCTGTCGGTGTGCATGACTGCGTAGAGGGTAGCAGGAATGATGAGCGAGGCGGAGGCGACGGCCATGAGCGACGACATGGTGGATGCGACGGTTTCATTGAAACGGCTTTCGCGCTCTCTGATACCGGCAGCGAGGAAGCAGCATCCGAGCACCTGCAAATGGGTTAGAAGGGAGTTGGACGGGAGCTAGGACGCGCGACATACAAGGAGAATGTTTGACAGGATACTGCCGAGCATACTGGCCTGAACAACTCGAATCTCACCCTGCCTGAGGGCAACGATGGAAACCTGGTTGGATTAGCGATCGCAGGGGACCATCAGATGCGTGCGCACATACAATGAGTTCGACGGCATTTCCAAACGTCGCGTTCATCAAACCACCAAGGGTTTGGCCAAGCTTGGCGGAGAGCTCCTCGGTGGCGAAACTCAACAGGGCAGCGAGAGGGATGATTGCGATGAAGTTGAGGATGAAGACGACGGTAGGGTTCCAGGACAAGGCGCCGGCAACGATGCCGATGGGGACAAAGACGAGCAAGACGTTGACATAATTGCTGGCAAGGGTGGCGTAGATGAGATGCAAGATGTGCTTGGGCAGCGTCTTGACGCGCGACTCGTCTGCAGAGTTTTGGGTGCGACCGATGAGCGGGGTGCGCTCATCGTGATAACGGCCATTGGCAGGCTGAGGCATGGCAGGCTGTTGGGGATAACTGGGCGCACGACCGTGGCGGTGGAAGTGTCGCTTTATGTCTTCTGCCAAGGCCGGGGGATTAGCGATGCGGTGTGTGACGATGGGATAAGAAGCGCACGAGGTAGGAAGGTTGGTGATAGTGCGCTGCTTGGTATGAGGCGCAGCGACGAGCCGTGGGCGGGTAAAGCTTGAGGTGAGTTGATAGGCAATGCAGCACAATCGGCCCAACTCGCACAGCGGGAGGTAGGGGTTGAAAGGGAAGAAAGGAAAAACAGGTCAAAGGAGGTGGGGACACTCACTCATTGCTTCGTGGGCGAAGGGTCGGTCAGAAGGGCAGCTTGGGCGGCAGGGCTTGCAGTATATGAGCTGTCTGGAGCCAAGCTCAGTGGTGTGTAGAGTAGCGGGAGAAGCAAGCTCGGCAATTGGCCGGGAAGAGGCTTGAGCTACTGGTACTGGCGGATGATCCGTGGTTGAAGAGAGGAGGCAGGCAGGTAGGTAGGCAAGAAAAGAGGACGGCCGAGCGTGCTCGGGCAATTACATATCAAGAGGACGAGAGATGGGGCGAGCGAGGACGGGCAATTACATATCAAGAGGACGAGAGATGGGGCGAGCGAGGACGGCCCTGGCTTTGATGAGCCGTGTGCTGCGACTTGTTGCGATGACGACGTATTGGCGCCGCCGTGGACCTTGCGGGCTGGGGGCTGGGTGGGCTGTGTAGAGTAGAGCCAGTAGGGGTATTGCCAGGGGGAAGTGGAGCGACCCGTCAAACACTTGTGCCTGCCCCAGTGTCAAACACAGCCAAGCCCGAGTTTCATTGCTCGGCCACGCTCCAAGAAAGCCCCGGCCGGTCTTTGTCTTTCACACAGCCGCCTTTTTTTTCCTTCTCCCTCTCCTTTATTACTAATAATGAGAGTGATGAAAGAATTCGAGCGCGAGGGCTGCCCGGCGTTGAGCGTGGTGATGTCATGTGTGCGCGATGCCAGGTGCAAGCTTGCCACTTGTTGCCCGTTGCCAGTCGCGCCTTCCCGCAAAGTGTCACGGCCATGCAGCGCCCAAACACAACCGCTGCGGATCGTCGCCAACCGGTCCCGCTTTTCCCTGCCTCGCAACCACACTAGCATTACCACCATGTCCCAACTTCCCTGCTCCGCTGCATCCTCGCTGCGACGTCACCACCGCCTAACAAAAGTTACATATTTTGTCCGTCAACCCCAGCCCTGAAAGCGCTTTGCTGCGCGACAGAGTAAGCCCAGTCTCACGGCCTCTCCCAGAGCTGTGCCCCAATGTGGCATGGCTCAACACAATGCCGTTGCTGACAGGCTTGTTGCCTGGAATACACAGCTCCAGGATTGACTTACACATTGAGCATGTACACTGCTTACAATTTTGCTTACAACTGTCTGCCATGCAGCTACTACTACATATATGGCTATAATGCAGCACTACTGGCTTCACGCCATTTTCAAATGTTCAGCTGCGAATTGATATGGTGGTCAGCACCGATACGCCCGTAAACACAGCAATGTTGGTAGCCCCATTGATGATATTCGATAGATGCGGACACGAGATGCTCTTGTTGAGATGATTGCGGCCAGACGAAACATCTCCAATGCATCGACTCGCCTTCACCCGAGCTGCGGCTTTGATGTGCATACGAGATTGGAGATTGGAGATTTCATGCCATCTCTCACGTGATGACGTGAACCGACGCGTCCGTCTCCCCGCGTCCCCCACATCGTCTCTACTCCATGCCGCATCGCCTCAATGGCGCGACTCAAGGCACCTGCTTCTGCGCCCACAACTTCTCAATTGCCCCCAGACACGGCCAACTCGAGCGCAGCACTACCAGCGCTTCAGGCTGTAGCGGCTCGTCCGCGACGTGCTCAACGGCGGCCGACCAAGCAAGTCTCGTATGAGCTTGCCAACCATGCCAAAGCTTATCTTGAAGCCGGACAATGTACGTCACTGGACACAATATTGGGAAATATACTGATGATTGTTCCAGACGTAAGCGGCTATGGCCTGCTATACAGCCTACTCGCTGCGGGAACCAGCATCTCGACACCTGCACGGCCCTATGTTGGCTACCTTGCACCGCCCGCCTACATTGCTTTTGCCTCTTCCTTGGTCGTAGACCCCAAGTGCACAACAAAAGCACAGTCAAGAGACGCGATAGAAGGCGCAGACGCCGCTCTACAGTACCTGCAATGCATGCGCAGCACCATAGACGGCCCCGCATACCCCACCATACGCAAGGCATTTGGTTTCCCCGAAGAGCGCAATAGAAGACGCGCACCGGGTTACAGAAGTGGAGGAAGTCTTTCTCCCGAGCCAGGTGGAGATATTGAACGCATAGCCGGCGATGCTGCCAACGAAAAGAGCTTGTGGTGTCGCGCAGAGGACTTTTGGCACATTGTGGGATGGGCATTCAACTGCGCGTGTGTACATAAGAAGCGGTGGAGTCGATGGAAGCTGTGGCTAGCGGTCATGCTGAACTTTCTTGAAGCCGACTGGGAATTCAGTGTCCGGCAGAGCAGAGACAGCAATGTGGACGCAGAAATCGTCTTGCAGGAGAGTCTGCTTTGGCATTACATTGTCGGCGATGAGTCTGCACCTACGAATCGCGCAAGAAGACGGCGTATAGTCAAGGCTATCTTTGCGACTGGAATGCCTGAATCGCTCAAGGAATATCCTGAGATTTGGGACAAGGAAACAGCAGAGCCCAAGCGGAAGAAGGACGAAGAACAACGAATCGGCGAGGTTGACTTTGAAACGGGCGACATTGCCGACTATGCTAGCGACGACGAGATGCAAGATGCATCCGAGGACGAGGATGGCGAGGATGCGGATGAAGCGTCTGCGTTTCAAGACTACAAGAGTATCCAAAGCACACAAGATGCTATAGAACACTTGGGCGGACACGATGCGATTGAGCTGCGGCAGCGTCTCTTGGCTCTGGTGAGTGGCCTATACTCTCAAGTACGACAACAACTAACATGAAGCAGCTTGCACAAGCAGCCCTAGCCCTACCTACCTCCTTCACACGCCTATTCGACCTCTGCGATACCATCCTCGAAGACTTCATCCAATTACCCACAATCATCTTTCAAGCACTCCTCCCCACAATGAAGCTACCCGACGGCATCCAATTCGCCTTCAACTCCAACCTCCTCTCTCCCTTGATCAGCGGCAAACTACCAAACTACTTCGTCACCCTGCCCACACAAGAACACTTTGAAAAGAAGCTCCTCCCGCTAAAAGGGTCAACGCAGAGCTTCGCTGCAAACGCAAAGATTTCTCTCATCCTAGAGCAGCTCTTCATATACATGATGGACCATGATGCTCTCGAGCCCACAAAGGCACTCCGCAACGCCATGGAAACAGGCATCGAGGCACGACAAGGTGTCTATGGCACGGGAAAGGGGAAACGAGGTAATGCGCACGAGGAAGAACAGGGAAAGAAATTGCTGCATGCGTGCTCAGAACGCCTGCTGGGTTTGTTGGAGGTGTTGGAAATTGCCGCGGGCATGCCACCACAGGTAGCGACGAGGAGGGGGCACGGTGATGCTGCTTTGGCCTTTTTGTCTTTTGGCTCCGGCTCTTCGCTTTCACCGCCGCCAGAGAGCGAGACGGAGACTGACGAGTGATGGTGTAGTGTATATAGTGGGCCTGCCCAACACCATGCATAACACGCTTTGTCGCGCATTTCGATGCAAATCACTTGTGTACAAACCCGCCGTAGTGATTGAACCTCCTTGACCTCTTTTCCTTTTTTTACGCAAGGAAAAAAAGTTTAAAATGAGCTCCACATGTTCCATCCACCCCTTCCAAAGAATCAAAAAGAAGAAGCAAAAAATGAATGGAACAAAAAAGCAATGTTCGTATAACTTGTCAACCATCCTTACTTAGATTTCAGGACTGACCGACGCAAAACAAAAAAAGAAGGTTTTCCGGTACCGGGAGTCGAACCCGGCTCTCGTCGGGCGCTGTCATTAGAAATGAAAGCGACGGATGCTAGCCGATACACCATACCGGATGAATTGATAGAAAGAGTTAAAGTCTGAACATTTATATCTTGTTCACCAAATGTTTTGCGTGACGTGTTGAGGTTTGGGGCGCAGAAAACTGCCCCGCAAGTGAGGTTTGGGCGAGGTGTTGGTGGGGTGGCGACGCGAGCGCGTTTTTAGCGCGGTTAGGTATTTTAACCAAAGAATTGGAGCTGTGTACGTCTACTGGTTTGAGAGAGGGAGGAAAGATGGAGCTGCTGCTGTGGGGATGTTTTTGAGTGGTGGATCTGAGTGGTGGTTTTGCGGTCGCACGTTAGTAAGTATTTGTGGCACATCAGTGCATGGGATTGTGGGGATGAATCACGATCAATTTTGTCATGACATATTGTTTGTCAAGTATATACGTTGTGGTCTTGTGAGTCGTAAAGGTATGCGCAGGTTTCCTCCTTGTGTGTGTGTTCGATGCTCACTGCGTAGTACACTCTTCATCCTTGTCCTCGTCCCCGAGCGTGTCGTCATTATTACAATCAACCATGGAATCGCCATCCTGTTCAGCTTCCTCCTCCTCCTCCTCCTTGTCAGTGTCACGAGGTTCCTCGTCGGCCGCGTCATTGTCGTCGTCGACCACGCTATCCTCATCTCCACTAACCATGTGATCTTCATTGTCCTCAGCTATGCCACAACCACTAGCGCTATCACCAGCCGGCGACGTCAACCGTTCCCAGCGCTCTGAATCCTCCGCAAGATTGCACAGAAGAAGAAGAAGGTTATCAATGCTCCTCTCGTTATACCAAGCGCTAGTTTGATACATGACACGAACGTGCCAAATCAATTAACGTATCGATGTTTCTGCCCGCGAAGCGCGCGAACAAGGGGACGAGTTCGTACAAAGTTTCGGGGATTCTGTTTGTGCCGATCATGTATAGATCGGAGGTGCGAAAGGCGTTGTACCATAGCCTGCACCGTTCATTCTTGCTGAGCTGAAAAGCATGCGGAATGCCGGCTTTGTTCTGCCAGTTAGCCGGGAAAGGTTCGAGGTGAATATTTAGCATGACTGGCCCGTGGGATGGATCCATTACAGCTGTGAGCTCGCGTGTGTTATGGCTTGTGCTGCTAGTTTCAGAACTACTGTCTTCTGCATTGGTAGTTTCAGTGTTGGGTTCGGGGCTGGTAAGTCCTTGACCGATGGCGTTTGCATTCGTCTGCTCGACAATGGCATGGTCAGGTTCGATACTGCCGTGCTCGTCAGGCAGGCTTGTTTCCATATTTTTCATGATAGACTCGGACTTGTCCATTCATGCATCTCGAGTGTCAGCTGGGAGATCGTCGATAAGTTCAGCGAGACGTCGATAAGTCATCACTGTGTCGTGCAGTGCGTTTTCTGGGGTGAATTAGCAGTGCTAGCTTATCATAACATACTACTTACGGAGAAGAGTGGCGGAGCGGTCCAGCGAGAGGCTCATGATCCCTGAGGGAGAATGGCAGCCATTCTCCTCTATCTTGGCAAAGGGCGTTCGAAGATAGTTGTAGAGGAACAAATTGGACAAGCGCGGAATTTGTAAAGGAATGAGAGCATATCGTCAGAGTGTAGTTGGAGAGCAGAAGAGCTGAGCAGCGGACAGGGTGATATATATATGGGGTTTCGGACCATGCACGCAAGTGAGAGACAACTTCACCTTGATATCTCTACTGCAAACAAGGTTCGCGAGCAATTTACGCAAGTGAGAGGCACCTTCACCTTGACTTTTCTCATGCAAGCCAAATGTACAAGGACGGGAGCTCGGCTATTACATTGCTACTCACTATGATTTCACTGTGAGAATAGACTCACTTTATCTATACTCGTTGTTATGGGTCTTTTGGGCGATACGTTCCGGTGAGCACCATCAACAGAGCCTCACATATAGCAACAACGATGGACACACCAAATCATGAGACAGATAGCATATCATAAAAGTAGCCAATATAATTGAAGATAATAGGATAAGCTCAATCATTGAAAGTATTATGCATGCATCTTCAATCCTTCCACGCTTCCAAGGTGCAAGTGAGGGGATCTCACTCGATCTCCTTGAGATCCTCGTCGGCAGCTGGGGTATTTTCGGTATTTATTCCCTTGCAGGCGTACCATCCATCGAGCTTCATTCATAGAGCTGCTCTGGCGTTCTTGTCTTTCCATTGGAATGGGAAAGGTGCGTGGTACTGCGCCTGATCTGCGGTGACTCCTTGTTCCATCAGCATTCACTTGAGGCGTGCTGCCATTCCGTTGTAGTGACGGCTAGCACGGGAGTCCTTGGGTCCTTATTTGCTGAGGGTCGACATGCGTCCTGTGTCCTTGACCTAGATTGCAAATCCAGTACCCTTGATCGCCTTGCCATCATCTCCAAGACGGCATGGGATGTCCCATGCCGCAATCTTCTCACCCTTGCTGCCTATTGGGGTGGGCATCCGTTGGCCACAGCCCGGGCACGACTTCCGGGTCGAGCCTACCCAAAACAACCCCCAAGGGTGTTCGTTTGGGCAGCAACGAGCCCGGTCGTTCGCGCCCGCACTGGGACGTGACTCGTTGGGACCCTTGGCCCAGTCGGAACAACCCTTTCCGGGGTAGTTGTGTCGTTGGTATCCTAGAAACCTAGGAAGCGGTTTTAACGCTTGTGGTTCCTTCACTCGAACCTGTACGATGTCAGTGTCGCCACACAAAACTAAGTGAAATACTAACCCCACGGCCTCGCCGCCTAAGCCCGTCCTATATCTGCGGATATCCACCTACCACCCCACACCTATATATACCCAAATAAACTGGGTATATACAAAACCCGGTCATGGCAGATATATCCGCCATGCCGGGTCATCATATATCAAAATATATGGAAATATATCACAGCCTACAGGCCGGAAGGAGGGGAAGAAAATGATATATAGCAATGGCGGCTACATGCTCACCATGCCAAAAGAAGGGAATCAAAATAAAAGATAAGAATGCAGAAAAGAGACAGAAGATAGGAATAGACTCTGGGAAAAGAAGGATATACTCGTTGTTGGTGTGGAGGAGTGGCAGAAGGGGGGCGGAGCACGGGTTTATATAGGCAAGGGTTAAGGCTTCAGTGCTGCGTTTGGCGCGATTTACGGGGGGCGCATGGGACCTGCTGGGAGGCAGCAGTATCCTTCGATTGTTGAAAAAGGCTGCTTCATTGCGTGTTGTGACGTCAAAGCAAACGCGCAGGCAGGCAGCTGCTGGCGCTTTTTGAGCGTTGCGTTGGGGATGAGAGCGCTTTCACGTCAGCCACGTGCGTGCCTATTCGTGTAAGTCGTTTGTATTCGTGAATTTTGCGTGATATTGCGTAAACAAAGCGGTAGGTATGTGGTAGAAGACGTCGATTATTGACTCATATGACTTGTCAGCAGTTCTATGTGTTGGGGCAAGACGCCGAAGTAGACCCTCATGTGAACAATGTCAATCACACTGATATCACACATGACGAAATTTCCGCGTGGACACATCACTAGAAGGATTGAGAGGCTTTGGTGGTGATAGTACATTAGAGTATCTAAGAGCAACGAGGGTATCCCGAATCATCAATAGAGAGCGTCTGACCATGACAAGATTGAAAAGAAGCAGCCAGGCTTCTTTGAAACCATCTAGAAAACGTTTCCCTTGGTCTGCTTCCCCTTCTCTTCCTCCAGCTTCTTGAGGTTGATGTTCTTCCAAACAAAAATGCAGGCCAGGCAAAGGGGAACGAAGCAGGCACCAGTGATGACCATCTTGCGCTGCACATCACCGTATGCACCAACGATAGCATCGCGCTCGGGTGTGCCGTCTAGGAAAGACTTCTGAACTTCAATATCGCCAAATATTGTGCGATAGTCTGGTTTACTAGATTCGGGAAGGCGCTTGAGGAGTTGTTCAGGAAGAATGTTGTTCCACATGGCGCCAGCAATGGCGTAACCAATTGAAGAGCCGAAGCTGCCGAAGAGACCGTAGATGGCGTTGACTACAGCGATCTCTTGATGTGTAACAGGGACCATGACCGCGAGCTGAGCACAAGTAGCGAAAAATGCCGTACCAAGACCAACAAGAACCTGTGTAAAGGCAAGGACACCGGGATTGGTGGATGGGTTCCGGAAAGGAATCAAGAGTGCGGTACCAAGTAGGACGATGGGAACACCAGTGTAAGCAGTCCACTTGAAGTTGCCAGAGTGCCTGATCCATAACGCAATTACCGGGCTGAAAACTGACGATGTAAGCGAGAAGGCGTTGAGAATATAGCTAGCATGCGTGATGCTCTGCCTGTGAACGACCAGCAGGTATGAGTAGAAGTATCCGTTCCAGCAGAAGACGGAGAGGAACATGACTCCATAGAGAAGACATGAGCCGACAATAGTTCCATTCTTAAGGTAGATCCAGGGCAAAAACTGGACAGGCGCGAACTTGGCCTCCCAAATATAGAAGACCGGGAAGAGAACGAGACCGAGAACGATGCAGGCAATGATGTAAGGTGTCTTCCAGCCGTTGGGGGCGTAGGATACGAGGGTAAAAGGCAGAACGAATAAGCACCACGCGCACATGATGAGTATAATGCCAAAAACTGGGCCATGTTAGCATATGTCATAGGTATCTCATGAGGAGCTTACCATCGAATTGCACAAAGTAGTACCAGATTGACTGCATGAAATTGCGATCCGACTTTTCCTTTTTGGCCAACCCGGCTTTCCTGGCCTTGCGGTACATGTACATCATGACAACAAGGGCGGGAAGACAGCAGCCAATGAAGATGATGATGAATGCACCAAAAGCCCAGCGCCAGTTGTTTTTGTAGTAGAAGAGCTCCGCGATCCTGGGACCGGCGAAAGTGCTAGCGATACGAGGCGTTCCGTTGATAGTAAGGATGATCATTCGGTTCTTCAAGGTGGTGATATCGGCAGCCATGATGTCAGCGACATATAGCACACCAATATGGCCAGCCCAGTAGAGAACGTGACCAGCCATATATGTCTGCACGTTCTCGCAAGCAGCTTTCATGGCCATACCGCAGACGACGAGAAGGAGCATAAGGAAGAAGCCCTCTACGCGACCGAAAACGTCGATTACTTTGGCAATGAGAAGGGGAACACAACCGCTCAGTGCTGTTGCCATGACGCTCGAAACGGTCAACAGGCCGTGTCTTGCAAAAGTCGAGGTGATGAAAGGGTTGAGCGCTGCGTCAATGGCATTTTGTAGGAAAGCAACAAACTCGATAAGGTACAAGCTAAAAGTCGGTCAGTATTTGGTCGTTGGGTGGGAGAAGGAGCGACGAACAAGATGAACATGGTAATTAGAGTCTTCTTGCTCCATATCTCAGTGATGGCACGGACACGTTGAACGCCATTCTGGAAGTTCTCCGACTCAACGGACTTGGACTCGGCGTCACTGGCCGTCTCGTGGGAGTGGACTACTCCATCGCCTCTCTTCTCGACGTCGATATCGTGTGAGGGACGAGGAAAGCCCTCTGCAGGCCGCACCACGTCAGTCTCAAAAGTGTTGTTCGCCATGGTCAAACGGAATTTCCGAAAAGATGCCGGGCGAGGCAGGGTATTGAATTGAAATGCAGGTGGATGTCGATCCCAAGACCGGCAGATGGAAGCATTCTTAAGTATCTCCAGGGCCCACTCCGAGAACCGGACAGGGAAGGTCAAGACAGGAACAAGACATGAAAAATTTGCCCCGTGTATCCCACCCGGTGGCTTGGGATCATCTCCCACCGTCCAGGTAGGATGGAGTGCCTAGACAGCGTTAGCAGCGGCTAGATGATCAGATAAGTCCTAGATGATCTGATAAGATCCAATGTCCCTTCGCCCTCTCAGCTGCCCCACCGCAAACCTGCATTGCCAAGCCCTTGGCTCATAATTTCAGTGGCGGCCATAGCTCCCGGCTCGTCAAATCGAGCAGTGCGCGCCGAAGCCTCAGTCCCGTCTCGACAAAACCAACAGGTCTCGCCCGAATAATGGAAGAATCCGAGGGTGGGTAGCGGCATTGGGTGTGAATTTCACGTGGCAATCGCCTGATAACATGCCGCCGTTGCAGTGTGCCTTGTGATGGTAGCTCGTCCATGACAAGAGTGTGTGTGGATAAATATGGCGACTTTGACTAAGAAAAACTGTCCGCTTCAGAGAAAAAATGGAACCCAATAAGCTCAAACAAGCCAGGAATTATTAGTATTGGAAACCGTCATGCGGATGGGGTGCAGAGGTGAAGGAATGAAGCCGTCGTATGGCCATTAGCCAGGCGCCAGAACTGCCCCTCATGGCCGTCGGCACTAGCGCCCCCAACATGGTCACGATGACATCTAATCTTATCAGATCATCGCACTTACCTCGGACGATGCCTACTTCAGCATAACTCGGCCTTTCAGCCCTTCCATGGTGGAGTCTTAAATACACTCTGCAAGTAGTTTAAGTGTCCGCGCGGAATTGAGAAGCAGCCACCATCTCAACAGCTCCACCATCTCGTGATCAGGCCACCAGATTGGCCGCGTCAACGCCACATCCATTCGGCTTTATTGTGGCGCCCTCTATTTCTCTCACACGTGTTAAAGAAAAAGAGTAGGGACCATTCGAGTGCGATGTGAAAAGCCAGAAAACAACATCGGAGTGTTTATCACGTGGCATTTATCCCAGGCATCGACTGATTCTACTCATAACAATGGGACTGATGGATACACGGCAACTCATCCCAACTATATGTTGTTGGCTTGCCAGAGTCTTCAACGAGCGGTGAAGAGACCACAGTTCAGAATATATCAGAGGTAATATCGTCGAGACTACCCTCTCACCGCGGATATGCGCGGCCAACCCGAAGAACGATTGATTTGCTGATTTGATTGGTCAGAAGCATGCCCTTGACTTCACCCCTAAGCCAGAAGTTACAGAGTGATCCCACAACTCTGAGTTTGTACTGTTTGGTCCCTCAAGATCAGCAATGTGTCTATATTTGGCCCGGTTGGTGGACTGGCTCTAGCTTGAAAACATCAACTCCAAAGGGAATCTTCTAATCGTCCTAACGAGCAGTAATCTTTTCGTAACTATAGCCACGACCTAAGCAATATGAGAAGACCAACTTCAGAGATTGGAAATGTTCTCTCACTTGAAAAAGCGGTGTAAAATAATTCGTCGCACTCACTGCGACAAACTGAGGGGTAGCAAAAGCCTGGTGAAGGAGGGTTTGAGTTTACGCAGTCACCTTTACTTGTGTAGATATATTGCTAGGCAAGATCTACGCCAATTTGCCATCAATTCCTTCCTGTATCCCCTCAACTACCACATCCAACTACCCGAACGACACCGATATGGCAGACACGGACCCCTTCAAAGTCATGAAAGACATTAGCAGCATGCTTAAAAAGCCGCTTGGTCGACTCATGAGCTCAGCTACAAGGTCTGAGAAGTCCGATGTAGTTGATAAGCACTTGGCAAACACACAAAAGAGATTAGAAGACAAAAGTTCGACTTCCGTATTGGTAAGTGCTACAGTTCATATCTCTGCGATAAAGCACATTGCTAACATATAGTATAGCTAGCAAAGGTAGTAGAAACTTTGAGCAAGCACGGCGAAATGGAAGCTATACGCATGGTGGACGACCTGAGCTTGGTTTACTATACAATGGACTCCATCATTCAAGCTAAAAAGAAACAGATCGAGGAAGCTATGCAAGAGGTTGCCATGGCAAAAGACGAGGTCGAGGAGGCGACCAAGCTGGTCCAGAATACCATCCATGAAGCAGAAAAGAAGGAGGCTGCAAACAAGGAACCGGCAAAGAGAAAGCAGACGGAGGACGAGATGGAGGACGAGATGGACGAGGCGGCGTTGAAAGAGGCAATGCTCGAATATGTAGCAAAGAGGCGCCGTATCAACGAGTAGAGAATCACTTCAAGTGAGATCGTGGGGAGGAACATGGAGCAGAGAATCAGTTCAAGGGAGAAGTAAGGCATTAGAAATAGCAACAATGAATACATTAGTCTGCTAATCTTTCGTGATTAATACTATGAGACATCATTAAAAATACCTTTCTCTTATTGTGGCAATCGAACTGTTTGTACAACGACATGAACTATCTCTCACGAACACTGGTTTCCCATCCACTCCTCCAAGGCTCGGCGGTCATACTCTGCACGCATCTGCATGACATCTGCCATCTTCTCAGCTGCTTCCGCTCTGGTACTTGCGACCTCCATCTCCTTCTCTGACGCCTTGGCGAGCTTGATCGCAGCCTCTGCCGTGAGTTCCGACATCCTAGCTTTGGCCTGCAGCTGGCGTGTTTTATGCGGAAGCTCGTCTTCTTGGGAGTCGGCAACGCGCTTCTGGAAGGTTGTTTCTGTGATATCGTTAGATTGATGCTGTGAACAGTCTGGAACTGCCTTACCCGGTTGTAGCTGAGACGGAGTGTCATCGAGTTCTTGCCAAGGGCTCAGTCCGTGAGGTGGTTCCGAGGTGAAACTTTGACCGGCGACTCGGGCATGCTTTGCCTGTTGACCTGGACAGGGTGTTCCGCTGATTACTTTACGCGAAGGCATGTTCCTTTCTGCTTGTAATGAACAAAATGTTGTTTTCTAGGGTATGGAGATGTTCAGGCAGAAACGATCATGCGTAGGCGATATTGGTAGGTATGCTTAATTAAGTATCTCGCCTTAAAAACTATCTTTATAGTAAGAAATTGATTTTTTTGCTAAAAAGCATGATAGTAGCATGTTACGAAATCCATGCTACAAATACTTCTTTAAGAATAAAGCCATAAGTTAACTTATAGCTCGATAACTAAGTAGAATAGAGAAAGTATTAGTTCCTTGTTAAGACAATCACTAGACTATTATCTTATATCGTTCCCATCAAGGCTACGCCATGTAACATACCTCACTCATCACAACATTCATTATTCAGCTTCCTGGGAAGCTGTCTCCTCCCCTTCCCCTCTATCGGATGCCTTCGATAGGTTCCGCAACTCAATAAAAAGCTGCTTCATTGCCTTGTTATCCTCGGTTGCTGTATCAATAAACTTTGCGAACGAAATTTTAACTTTGTCATACTTCTCTTGCAACTCGTCAATTTGCCTTTTGTTTTCCGATACCGTTTCGAGAGCTGAACGAAGGTGCTTGTTCAAGTGCTCGATGTCTGAGTCCCGGGCTTCGAGTGCCTCGCGCGTTTCCTTCCAATACCCAATAAGATCGTTTAAGAGATTGATATAGCGAGTATTGGCTGCACATAGTGCTTCGCGGCTGTCATAATTTCCTTTCAGGTCGGGTGATTCGATACTCAAGCCTTCATAGAGGGCAAGAACCAAATCTTCCCGAGCGCTTACGATACTTCTCAAGTCTCTGCGATTCTTGGATAATCTGGCTTCCAAATCTGTGACGCGCTACTGCAACTCGCCTTTTTTGCGCTCCAACGTATCTTTGACTTGTGATTGTTCGGATTCCTGATGGACTTGATCGATGTCAAGCTGCCCTTGAGCCTTGGTATGGAAAAGTTCTGCTTCCCCGGCAGCCTGAGTCTGCTTCGCATCTCCTGCTTTAACGTATAAATGTTCCTTCTTTGCAATTACGAGTTTGTCTTGGAGAGCGACGACTTCGTCCCGGAGCGTCACTACTCTAGCTGCATGTGTTTCCCTAACAGTGTTCAATGACTGCTCGACTTTATCAGCACGTTCAAGCGCACGCTGAGTTGCTGTTTTGGCTGCATCCAGCTCGGTGTTCGCAGAATTGTTGCGCTCCTTTGCGTCCTCGAGAGCGGCTTTGAGTCCTCGGATTTCGTCTACCAGCTGTTCGTTCTGGTTCGTAGCGATTTCCATATCACGCCGAGCTGCATCCAGCTCAGTGTTCGCAGACTCATTACGTTGCTGTCCATCTTCAAGAGCGGCTTTGAGTCCTCGGATTTCCTCTGCTAGCTGTTCGTTATGGTTGTTAGCGGTATCAATCTCTCGTTCCTGGTTCGCGATTGTTTTCTCATGTAGCGCGTTGTCCCATGCCAAGTCGCCACAATCTTGTATTGCAGCCTCAAGGCTGGCGGAAAGGCCTTTGATGCGCTTGTCCGGTTCCGTTCTTGACTTGTCAGTGTGTTCTTGGAGGGCTTTAACCTCCCTCTCTTGCTCGTTGGCTTTTGCCTTTTCGGCTTCAGCTTGAGTCCTTGTTTCTTTAACTTGTTCTCCAAGTCTAACAATCTCCTTCCGCAATTCCGTTTCTACTCCACGCACTCGCTCGACCTGTGATTCGAAAGAAGACCTGTCCACGTTTGCTTCGGAGAGCTTAGCTTGCATCCGTCCAGCTTCTTCGTTCGCCTTGGAAAGCTCATGCTGCGCTCGTATGGCCTGCTGTTCTAGGGAAAACATTTTGGTATTTGCTTGGCGTTGCTGATCTTCGGCTGCCTTCTTGTATCCATCAGATTCAATTCTTAAAGTCTTCAGTTGCTGCTCGGAGCTTTGCAGAGAGGCCTGTTGCCTAGTGATTATCGTTCGATCACTTTGCTTCGTCGATGTACTCTCTTCTAATTCATCCAAGTTGGTTAGTCATGTATTTGGCATGTAAAGAGCTATGGAACTTACCTTCTAAACGACTAAGAATGCCTGCAAGCGCTTCTCTCTTTGCAAGAATGCTGACTTGCTTGTGACCCTTCTCTTGCTCGGCTAGGACAGTGCTGATTTGTTCCTTTCCGTTGCGTACCTTCTGCTTCATCACCTTCACTCTGCGTTCTTTTCTCTCAATTTCCCTAATATCGTCTACTTGACGTTCTACTACTATGCCGGCGTAAAAAAAAGCACTTGCTCCTGTCGTATCACCATTGACCCCTTGGAACGTATACGGGAACAGTTAGAGAGCCATGCTGCACTAGATCGGCGGTGTCTTTTCGTGAACAATTAGAGATGATGCGTAAACAGGCAGAGAAAAGATTTTGTATCGTCTGCAAAGGTTCGCTGCAATCGTTAGTGAAAAAGCCGTGTAGCTCATCAGTCACATGAACCGGCCTTGACAGGAAGGCACACAGCTCACTCCCGCCTAGATTTGCGAAAGGAACCTAGCTTCTACACAACACCTACCCCGCCACTAAACCATGACCAGCAACTCCAGGACTTACGGCAAGAAGGGCAGCGGCCAGCGAAAGAGCTCGATTCAGTCAGCAAACTAACCACTGAAACGGAACTTACTAACATTGCTCATAGTCCATTAGTGAACATGCAGGTTACAAACGACGCATCCAAGACTGACTGTGGTTCTGAAAACACGTTCAAACCAGAAGCGAGCTCTCCAGTTGTTGAAGAATTCGAGACCATAGCAGTGAGGCCAACAGAAGTGTTGGATCTAGGAACCACAAACACTGTCCAGCTGAAATCAGTGGTTCTGCCTATCGATCCAGACTTCCAGGTACAGGCCGAAGCTCAAGTAAGAATGCGTAGGTATGATTATGGTGCCAGACTTGGAATGAGCTATAGCGATGTCGCTGCGGCCGCATTCGAAGAAGAGAAGTTCGACAAGCATTCAGCAGTGGACATTGGAGAACCGGCTTACAAATTGTCGGCTGTGCATGCAAGTTGATTCTAATTCAAGACTGCGAAAGCCTGCTAATTCAAAAACAGATTATGGTATCTATCCCTTGCGAGGTCCTCCGCTTGATCGTCAATGGTAACCTATGCAAGGCTATCCGCGACGGGAATCCCGAGTTGGTAAAATACTATTCAGAGGATGCAGCGTGGCAGCAAAACTCGACCGGCACGAATAGGTCGGCAGCGATATACATCCGCCATCTTGTCGACAAGGAACATAATGCACCCATGCCGCAGTGGTGCCGAAAGGCTATCCAACGCCTTCGTAGGTATATCTCGGGCGACCCTGAATATTTCAAGGATGCTGTTGCTTTGGACAATGCCAGGAACCACCGCTCAAGCATTGAAGATATACAGAATGGTCGTCACCATCATCTACAAGGACTCATCAAGCGCGTACAGCAGACCATCACCTTCTGCACTGCGTTGGAGATGCGTCTGAGCGAACTAGATCCAGATATGATCGATGTTTCTCTCGAAAAGCTACTGAAATGTGTTGGTTACAGCATCAACATTACAGCGCGAGGGGCTCAACATGACAAAGGAGACACTAGCTGGTTCCTACAGATGGCGCTCAATGCTTTTCGCCTTGAAGCGCCCGACGCGAAATTCACGTTCGAAGGTTACACCGTCTGCTTCATGGCCCATCCACATGAAGTCTCAGTTGCTGAGTCATTGATTGGCGTCATCACTCATAGCATGATTGAGACGGGCGGCGGCTTTGGTGTGTTCCAAGGTGGAGTGCAGACGACCAGCGCTCGATTGCCTGGTCTGGACGACGCTGCACGTGCTGTTTTCTGGGAACAATGCGACCGCTGGCGTAGCCAGAACACCCCGTACAACAAGAATCTGGACTTCGACTACAAGCGATTGATGAAGCCTCAGAAGGATCAGACCCCCATCCACGAATCAAGCACTCGATTGGAGGAACTGGAGAAGACTTGTGAAGAGCACCGTGAGAAGATTGAAGCTTCGGAACAAAGGACTTCAGAAATAGACCAGCAAGAGCAAACCTTGGCTGTACGTATAGAAGAGTGGCTCAAGAAGTCTGAAGGGAAGGAAACAAGAACACAGGACGCGATGAAGATTCTGCTGAAGAGGGTGAAGGCTTCCTCCGACTAGCAGCTCGATGAAGCCCACGGAAGCGCCTAGGAAACATTGTTCAAAGGAACAAACAACATTTATATGTAAGCTCGGCTGCCTCTTCTTAATAGATTCGAAGGTAACGCAGCGTATTACATATATCTCAATAATCCACAATAATCACCATGTCCTAATTGTCATGGCGTTATATAAGAGGTGTTGTTCGAATTGAAACCACTCTAGCGATTTACATTAATATATTGAACTAATAAGAAATCTTGAGTCGAACTACGCATAGGAGTGAGCGTTCGAAGTTTTTTGTCTGCGTGTTAATATTCGGGATAATCTCAAGTTGACTAGATTTGTCGAGGACTTTTGAGTATTGGCCACACCGCAAACCACGGGATCCTAATGAGAGGCACTGCATGGGTTATGAACGTTTTCGATTCGAACGCGAAAGTACGGAGCAGATTTGCGAGTGGTGTTAGCATTATCGAGTTCCAATCTGATCGGAAGATGTATCTTATAATAGCCAGTGCGCGGAAAGAATGGAACTCGGCATATAGTTGTAGATCCTAAGCGACTGGTTTGAAGCAGATGTTGCGCTTCTTCCAGTGCCAGCAGTTATAAATGTATCTGAGCGCGGTAATGCAACCTCCGTTTTTTTCTAGAACTGTATCTTATTACGATTAAACTGTATAATTATTACCTAGACCACCAAATTCCACCCGTTGGGTCGAGCTCATTAACATACTGTTTCACAGAGGTTTTGAGTATCACAATTTAAACTTCCTACCTAACGTTCAACGTCAACTGTCTCCAGCCTCGATTTAATGCTCGGAAATTCCATCTGTCCAAAGTTCTCAAATCAGAAAGATACGATGCATACCAGTCTCAGGATCATAGCCTTTTTTGCCCGTCTTTGGATCATCACCTCTATGTGGCATCGCCCCGTCACTTTCATAAGCTTTGAGAATTTCAAGGTCCTCCAGAGCCTTGTGGTCCCCATATGGGCTCAATTTTGTGATACCAACACGTCGGAATGCTGGTCCCTCCTTGCAGCTTTTTTCGAGTTGCAAAATCAAACAGGTGAGGTATTTTGACTCCTCCGAAGCGGTCCGATCGCCTCTGGCCGCGGGTACTACGTAAACATCAGCATCCGGACCGATAATGCCCGGAACATCTCTTTCTGGACAATCAAGGAACACAATGGTATGCTCTTCGTCGGAGAGGTCATCGCGCTCCACCAGCCGCCATTCGAAACGACCTTTAGCTTTCTCAGATACGGAGAAACTGGCTTTGCGTAGCTTGCCCCATATTATTAATTCAGCGCCTTCAAGCAGGCCGAACTCGTCGGAGCTGTATTTTGGTGTAACAGAAACTTCGTCAATAGCAATGAGGATATCTCGGTCGGTCACCTCGGCGTATCGAATGCCGTTTCCTTGGTCGGCATTGATGGATGACCAGGAGAAGGAAGGCGCGCGGTAACTCGTAGGTGCAGTCGTAAAATAGTGAAAGCTATCGTCAACGGCTTGGAACTTTGGCTCAACGTACCACAGCAGCTGACTTGCGAGGTTCCATGCCCAAAGTCCAGCTACGTATTGCGTAGTACCTACGACGTCCGTTTTACCTGCGTGAATTGTGCTTCGGCATTTTAACTGGGCGGGCTTCTCTGCCGGGCCTACTTTTCCAGACATCCAACGGGCCATTCCAGACAAAGCAATAAGCTTATCTTTTTCGTTAGTGACCGCTGTTCCGGAGTACACTTCAACAATGCGACGCCAAAGCTCGAGAGCAAATATTTCGGGTCGGAGATGTGAATCGGGATCACCAGAGTCTTGAAAACGCAAACGACGCAGGCGTTTGCCTTCTGCCAAGTCGTTGAGCGCCTTCAATCGAGAACCTTCTCTGATACCATCGGCTGTTGACTGGAAGTTGGGTGTTCCTTCCGGTAATCCTTCGGCAGCTTCAAACTCATGACACTCCCAAGCGACTTGGTCTCGGCAGAAATGCAGCACTCTGGGGGCCATGAGACGTTCTTGTAGTACCCAGCCTCGTCGGTTTACAGGTGCTTCATCCACTCGATCAACCCAAAATGACACATCTAGCACTGTACATCGCCGCAAATCTGATCGTCTAGCTCCGATACATGCATTACTAGAATCTTGGGAAGAGGTAATGCGGGTCAGACCATTTCGGTCGGCTCGAGTCGGTTGGGATGTACTTTCGCGCCGTGGGTTGTTTGCACCTGGAAGACCCGAGATGTTCAAGAGTACCTCATCTTCGAGTAAAAGCTTGGGCCCGCGATCCATGAAGATCCCCTCTTCACCGTTGGATGCAGCTGTCGCAGAAATGTTCAAAAATGCCTTTTTGTACACCTGATCCATGCGTGCGGATTGGTGCAACCAATCTTCTTCATCCCCCTGCTTGATACAGAGAGTATCTATCCAAATATAGCCCACATTTGGGAGTCGTGCGGCGAACTGAATTGCCTGTTGGAAAGTCTTTGGTAGTTCGTCCAGCTCCATGCCTAGTTTCCGTTGTTCGATGTTCTCCGAGGTTAATCTGGCCTCCAAGTGTTTGGGTGAGGGAACTTTACCCCAACAATGGGAGAGCGTCACATAGTACGGGTTCTGCTTCCCATCTTTCTGAAATGGTGTGTCAACTTCCCAATCTTTTGTCTCAACTAATGTGACCATGGTACTCTTCGGGTTAATTACTGACTCCAATTTCCTGGAGTCGAAATGGTCTTTCTTCTTGAGTTGCTTGAGACTGATCAGCCTTGTAGGATATGACAAATGATCGGGCGTCTCCTGAACGCAGTTGCACTTCGACATCCATTGGCTGACCAGATGATACACTTCGTCAGACTCCGTGTTGCGGGAAACTGGAGTTCGAAACGGTGGGTCATTGATGCCTTTTGTATATAGTATTAGCTAGGAACACCATAGCTAATCGATTGGGTATCTCACTTGTTTCCTTAAGCACAAAGGTCCGCTGACATCGTATCTGATCATACCGCAGCCTGAGATTGAGGCAATAGACTTGATCCATCTTAGGATTTGGGACAAAAAGTGATGCCGTTATTGTGATGGGAAGTTCATCACAATTCTTTTCTGGGCCTATATGGGATCGCAACTCTTCGAGTAAAACGCGGCAGATCCCACAGTTCATTTTTGCTGAATGACACAAGTTTTTCCCAGACATGTGATGATTGAAATGAAGATCGTACGTCCCTTTCCAGATCCTTCCTTCTTGGCTGCGCAACATACAAAAACACACGTCGCAAAGCATGTTGCCAAGTAGTTTGGTGGGTAGATGAGACCTGAAAATGAAAATAGCTGAAAAATGGAGTAAGAGAGGTGGTGAAATTCCACCAAGGCTTCGGCTAAAGAAAAGCTCGTATGTTGTGAGCTAGTTTCTATGCAAAAGACACCCCACATGCTTTTTCACGTGGAGAAATTCAGCTATGAAAAGGATGAATAGCTTGGTCTCGCGAAAGCACCTATGAAGCGGAAGCTGACGATATATGCACAAGCGGTATCACGGCCGCATGGGTCTTGACCAATGGGAGCATGCATCACACCACCATCTTTTGGCGGATCACAAATGCAGGTATACAAGGGTAAGATCGATCAGTAGGGATCTTGTTCTTAGATGGGATCAGAGCTTGGGCTTTGCTCAGTGAACAGGAGATTAATCACGTGTCATTAGTATCAATCAGCAGAAACATTCGACCCTTGGATACCCCTCTAGCTCTTCTGATGAGATACCTTTGCTATATTAATGATCATTCGGTCCTTCAATCATTATAATACTGTAACCCAACTAGTGTCGTCATTTCACACTGTCGGGTCACTATCTTCAAGTCCTTGATTGGTTCAAAATCTGGAGTAATACGTAACGAAGTTGACCCTTGCACGCATGTATGCGGCCGTTTGCAACCGTTTGCAGCAACCACACTTATGCAAGGCTTCCCAACAGATACGTCGCAAATCCCATGTGCTGGCAATGAAGGGGATGGGCCCGCATTTCCATAGTCAATGGCGCAGCAGTGCTGAGCAGGGTTTCTCGATTCCTGTAAGCAAGTCCTAAGTGCGCCTGCACAAAATAAAACTGCCAATCTTGGTATTTCAGGTGGACTGATCTCCCTAGAAACCTTTGGTCAGTAGCTCTAGGGTGCGTGGTAGGTCCTCCGCCTTTTCCCTTCACCTTTATAGCGGCATATCGGGGTACAGGAAACCTACCAACTCTATCCATATTCGACTCTGCATTGTAGCATCACGCCCAATCATACCAGAACCCACTCCTCGAGGCTGGAATAATGGCTACCTTCATGCTCGACGGCTTTCGCTCAAAAGTCCCCGTTCAATTGACCCACGGTATAACCGAATCCCAACTCCTAGACTTCAGGGCTTTCCAAACTTGGCGTGATACCCTCCGCGCCAACCTAGCCTTACAGTACAGCAACCCCAACCATGCTTTTCATGATGACCCATTCTCGCTTCAGAAGATCGAAATTCAATCTGTCGACTGGTTCCCTACAAAGAAAGGCTCGATACTCGGCTTTGTGAAGCTACGCGCATACATTCGCAGCAAGAAATTGGTCAACGGCAAGCCTAAGGAGCTCCCAGGCATCGCATTCTTGCGAGGTGGCAGCGTTGCGATGCTCATGATTCTGCGGCCGCAGGACTCACGCGACGAGAGGTGGGTTGTGATGACGGAGCAGCCGCGGGTGCCCGCGGGCAGTCTTTCATTCGTGGAGATACCTGCTGGGATGCTGGACAAGTCAAACAACTTCAGCGGAAAAGCTGCCGAGGAGATCTTAGAAGAAACAGGTTTCAAGTTACCGAAGTCTGAACTCATTGATCTTACCGAACTGGCGCTAAAGCAGACACAAAGTGAAGACGGCGAGGTTCTGCAGAATGCTATGTATCCTAGCCCAGGAGGATCAGACGAGTTCATCCCAATCTTTTTGTGGGAGAAGGTGAGCACACACTCATGTATAGGTAGCTTTGAGCCTACGCTAACGAGATCACGCCTTATGTAGGAGCTTGATCGTCAAGAGATTATGGATCTCCGGGGTAAATTAACGGGAAAGAGAGCTCAGGGAGAGATGATCACGCTGAGAGTATGTGATTATGAAGAGCTATGGAAGGTGTGCCCAAGGGATGCGAAGACTTTGGCTGCTTGGGCGCTATATGAGGGCCTGAATAGGGCTGGTATTATTCAGGAAGAGTTAAGGAAACGCAAACAGATTCCAGGCGTGGAGTTGCAATTGGATGATGGTGATTCATCTGAATAGTTATCGTAAGTTATGGAATGTAATGGCTCCTGCAGGCAAAGCCTCTGGTTTCAGGACTATATCCGTGGGCGTGGTGCACTGCTCGGCCGCTCAGGCGCTAACTCCACTACATAGCAACACAAATGGAGCCATTTCACCACGGAATTTATAGGCCTAAAAAGGTGCTCATAGTCAAACAAGAAGAAGGAAAAGACTTGAAGTCTCGAACAGCTGGTTTAGCTAATTGCTAGATGCGATCCCCTAATTTCCTTCGTGATTATGATGCTACTATGACCCCTTTGGTACTCTCCAACAGAACGTACATTCGATACATTCAACACGCCCAAAAACACAAGTTCCTGTAGGTTTTCTTTTCTTCCTGCATGGCTGCGCCCCATGCCGTGTCACCTTCATATACGCGTCGTTGCTTGATTGGTTTGTCCATCCAAAATCCTGCTCGCAGCGCATCCTGACATATCTCTCCGCGGAGGCAGCCACCGACCAATAAGGCATTATAACGAAATCCTTCTGCTCAATCTCTTATTTCGCTAATAACTTGGCCACACGGTTGATTGGCTCTACCCTCGTGTCATCATAATTTCGGATCTTCAAGCTTGCTTGAGCCATATATTTGGACCGAAGTGGATATATCTGCTTGCTTCAAATGAGGGCATAAGCGGCCCGTGCAACAATCACAAGGGACTGGGACGGAATTGCAATGGAAAAAACAAAAATTGGTGTGAGAACGGTGACAGATGATGCTATTTGGGTAGCAAAAGCCGAATAGAATAGCTGTCCGAATTTAAGTCAAGCGTTCACATATGCGTTTATCAAGCCTCTTTAATATATTTTATCCCGTGCTCCATAGGCATGTTGATCTGAAGCTAATCTATAGCTGATACCTAAAAGTCATCATCAGGTTAGCACCCTTCCGCCTTGTATGAATTCAATAATCTTGCCTCAACGGCTCACTGCTAGGCAAGGACTGGGGCAGTGGCAGGGCTACTCGATACAATTATAGCGTTGTACTGGTGGAATGCAATTCTGATGCCATGGAGATACGCTACGTAATTGTCATTGATGAGTATTTGCAAGCTACTTTACTTCATCACATCGGAGATGCTGACAATGTTCAGAACCATATAGGTCACCGAAACAATGGCTGCAATGCAAGAGACAACCTTGCCCACCGTACCTAGCATGTCAAACCCGCCCGCTTCCACCTCCGCAGCGTTTCATCCGACCACCTTTACGCATTCCTCGATCGTCTTGTTCGCGATATCAAGCTTTTGATGAGTTCTTTACAACAGATCAAATGTACGTTGCTTCTGGTTCTTCAGATCAATGTCTTCCCAAAATGCAACGCTGACCAACGAGAGACTGTTGATGCACGTGGCCGTGATGAGCAGGTACCTTTGAGTTTGAGCGTAGCTCAGGTTAATCGCATCGCGTGTAGGAGATCCAACCGGGTACATTGCCTGTATTTGGAGACTTCCGTAAATCTTTGCAAAGTCGGGCAACGCATTTACTGGAAGGTTGGCTAATAGCCTCTTTGGAAAAACGCCAGTCCAGATGGCTCCCGCAATTGTTGATCCGATAGCATTCCCTGTAGAGATAACCAGAGACTCACATGCTAGAAGAGCAGGAAAGTCCTCTTGTTTGGAAACGGCCATAAGCGTCGTCTGCTCTGAAGTAACCAGAACACCCGCTCCTAGCGAAAGAAAGAGATAGCACATAACTATATATCCAATGTTGTTATCGGAGTGAAGAAAGTTAATCATCAATCCCGTGCCTAGAACGGTAAGTGGTACTCCCCAAAAGAAGGAGTACACCTTTACGCGTCCATAATAGCGTAAGCAAACACCATATACGAAGGATATGAAGCAGGCGCCCGTAGCATATACGTTGCTGACGTAGGTAGCATGAACAATGGTTTGGTTGTAAAGGAAAATCAAACAAGAGTAAAAGTATGGACTCCAACATGACGAAGCAATATAGAGAGTTGCAGCCATGGTATAGGTAAAGATGACAGTGCGGTTCTTGAGGAGATGCCAAGGAATGAAGGGAATTGGTGCAAAGTACTTCTCCCATAGTCCAAAGACAATGATGAGAAGGGCACCAAAAACGATAAAGCAGATGATCATGGGCGACTTCCATCGGTCGGCTTGGTATGAGTAGATGTTGAAGCTGAGCAAGAAGAGCGCCATTCCTGTCGCAAGAATGAGCAATCCGATGAGGTCGAATTCCTTGCCATAATGAATGAGCTTCTGGATGAAAGTGCCATGATCAGGGCGGGGTTCAATCAAGCCTTGCTTTTGCGCCTTGGCCTGGTTGACATAGAGGAGGCCGATCAGCGGTAAGCAGACGATGGGGACAAGGATGGAGAGGATACCAAAGCCCCATCTTAGGCCTATCCCACCAGGACTGACAATCCTATCCACTGCAAATCCATAGAGGAAGGTCGTGATTAACCAAGGTAAACCAAGATATCCGAGGAAGAGTCCTCGGTTCTTGAGCTTGGACGTATCGGAGACGAAGACTATTAGCGAAAAGTCAACCGACCTGTAACCTACGGTGAAAAACACCTGCGCAGCACAGTATGTCTGCACGTTGTTACAGGCAGCCATCATGATCAGCCCAACGGTTGTGAAGGCGACTCCGAGGCAGAGAGCAGGAGGACGACCCCAAACGTTCATTATTTTCGCATACGGCAGCTTCCATAAGCCTCCAACAATGGATGCAATAACACCAGTAAGCGCCGTGAGTGAGTGTTCCCGGAACGAACTGGTAATGTATGGGGTTAGCGTCCCCACAGTACCCGAAGTCCATGTGAGTATAAATTCTATTAGCCACACCCTGTCAAAGGTTAGCTAGAGCCAGCATGCACCTAGAGTGAGTCATACATGATATAAGCAACAATGAGGTCCTTCTTAGACCATGAGCAGGTCAAGGCTTGTATATTCTGAACTCCTTTCGGGGCGGAGGTGTCGATCTTTGCCGACTCATGATCGGCATCCGTTATCTCTATTGACCTAGGAGCACCTGGTTTTTCGTCGATGTGAGGAGTATTGGACTTTTTAATTGGCTTAGGCGATGCAGGAGCAGAGTTCAGGCCATGGTCTCCAGCCTGTACAGAATACTCCTCTTTGCCGGAGGGAGGACTTCTACATCGTTGTAAGTGTGGTTAGCAATAACGCCTGGTATAGCTTTTGACTTTGCTCACTTGAACTCCAAATTCATCCTGCAATGCGTCTATCTGCAGGAAATACTAGTGACGACATGATAAAATTGAATTCTTGTGCCACTGGCAATATATATACAGTACTAACTCAAAAGTCTGTTCGCACTAGCGTCTGGGCGCACCAACACTACTTTTTTGCCCAATTTCAACACCGTGCAACTCCACCAAATCATATTTAATTTT